TAGAGACGAGACGAGTTTCCCCCCTGACACGTGTGGAGAACCCGGAGAGAGAAGATTTCCCCCCTGATAGTTGGGAGACCATCTGTACACTTTTTACATGCTGTCAAGTGCTCTTCAGGAACAGAATCATCCTAATCATATTCAACTAGTGTAAAACTTGCTTTCTTAATAAGAAAAATGATGCAGCAACGCCATAAGCATCATAAACAGGGGCTATGAGGGACAACATCTGCCGACCCATTTCTTCTTATTATGCTCAACAGCCTGTCGTGCATTCATTTATAATACTTATAATGACTATTTAGGTAAATCATTTGAATAAAAACAATGCTCAATTTAACATATTGCCCCACAAGGTATTAATCGGACGACATTTTATTATTTCCATGGCGGTAAACTGAATTGTCGGTGATCACATGACAACCTAGTTACGTGAACCAACGAATTACATTCACTTGGGATCATAGGTCAAATAATGTAGTCGGGCTTTAAAAGCTTTATTTTTATATCAGTTGTACAGGTAGTTTATATTGAACTTTAACAAAGTGGACGAGAATCAGATAATATTTTTCTATAAAGTAAAATTTCCATTATTGAAATTTGCTAACAATTATTGTTTCCGACATTTTGTTTATTTTTTGAATTCAGAATCTGGGGATCGTTGGGAAATATTAGAAAAGTTTTTGCTTTGCTTTTAGGTTGAGATTGTTTATTATTATTTTTTTTAAAGGAATCTGATTTTTTTAAATTTTATTTTCTGTAATATGTGCTTCTCAATTTCACATATTAACATGTTTTTTTTATTTTCTCGTTTCCTCACCAGCTGCAAAAATAGCAAATCTCCAGCTTTTATGCCACACGTCTCTCGGAATGTACACCTCGACAGGTCTGAAAATAAGCATGTCTTTCTTTCGCTTGTTACGTATAAAATCTGCAATGTTTGTGCTCACAACAGTAGTTGTATTTGCTGTTATAGGGCTTGATTTCGTGTTTAAGAAATACCATTTGGAATCTAGGAAAGTTCGCTACCGATTGCATGGAGCCAATCAGAATATTTCACTGTATGGCGACAATGTTAATATGACTCGCGGGAATCAGCACGATGAAGACAAACACGGAGTGGTGGAACGATATGGAGGAGCACAGAATATACAAGAACCAAACAATTCAGTTCACGGTGAAAATCACAAATATCAAAGCAATCTAGAAAACGAACAGTGGTACAATGTTATATATCGTACAATTCCTTGTGGAAACGCAGAAATAAATACTATTCTGTCACCCCGACGACATTATCTGAAAATACGCAACCGGACTGTAGTGGAAGATTCAATCTATTGGTCCAAAGAATTTGAGAAGCTTATTCCTGAAGGTACGTTTCAGCTATAACTATATAATTTAGATATTAATATTATTATAAATTGTAGTAATATGTAAGGAGAACCGAAATTAACAAAGGCAGCATACGCTCAACAAGAAACATGTTCACTTTAGTGCTTATTTTTAACCCAGCTCTATGGAAATGTTTGTGTTTGAATCACACAGTCAAATTCATATAACTGGGTGTCAAATGAAATAATTACGCGTTGGAATCACTTGGGGGGGGGTTGTCTTCAAATAATGTTCACAGCACCACTTCGACCATCACTTCCATGTAACTGATAATAGTGTTTTAGGTTCATCTCATCGAAGATTAGTAGATCCCAACTGAGATCGTTGCAATGGTTGTAGCCCATCGTAGTCTTGTCTAGAATGCCGAAATAAATTACGACAACAACCAATGCAGCCGAGGAGGGTCTCTGTTAATAGACACTGCTGTAATGATGACACTGCCAACTAACCAACAAATGTGCAATTAAATAAGCTGTCTTATAAAAAAAAACATATTTGTTTATCTATTTAATCTAAACATCTGTACTTTACTGAAATGTTAGCGAAAAGTGCTGCAATTCACAAATACTATCTGTAAATTGACATGCTTGTTAAATCGGAGTGCATTAAACTGTCTAATATTTGTTCATTTTAAGTATAACTGGTGTGTTATACTCGGAATAAATATCATGAATACATGCGGCGTCACGATAACATGTACACTAACAACAGTTTTTCTCAGCTAGTATATTATACTGCCCGACTATGGGGTATGCTTTTTTTCATAGGCGACTAATATTTATTATTCATGCGTGATCAACAAAACTGGCCAGGGACCATATATATTATATATTGTCAATTTAACAATGTTATTGAGTGATTTTTCGTATGGTCTAAAAATTAAATAAGATACAAAGTGGCGGAGAGTGAATAAAGCAATAACACAGTATGGATATGACATGTTTCAATCACGCGAAAAACAAAACGTGTCGAAACATAATGACGGTAAAGTTATTAATTGACTATTTGTGAGGAACTTCTGCTGCCACAGCGCGTTCCCTGAATAGATTCACCCATCTACGCCCGCACCACCCA